GCTGACAATACATGTACTGAACAATGGCAGATGCTGCCCGGTGCTGACAATACATGTACTGAACAAAGACAGATGCTGCCCAGTGCTGACAATACATGTACTGAACAATGGCAGATGCTGCCCAGTGCTGACAATACATGTACTGAACAATGGCAGATGCTGCCCAGTGCTGACAATACATGTACTGAACAAATGTTGCCCAGTGTTGAGCATAGTGAGCAGTTCATAGTATTTTCATGTTAACCTTAAAATTGATTATATAGACATTTCTAAATCTTCAGTAATGACTTAATTGGGTCTTTCCTCGTCAACAATGATACAATAAAAACAATTCTAACCCAGTAGTGTTCTGGCATGTGTTCAATGATCCCATGTCAAATAATTTTTTATACTGACTATGTTTTATTTCCAATGTTGAACATAATGTAGGGTAAACATAATTTGATATAAGTGTTATGTACCAAATATGATACACCATTACCATAGCAACTATTTATAGTAAATCTATGGTAATTATACGGTACTGTAATTTGTTGGTGCTCAGCATGCGCAACATACCACATATATGTTTGTCACTACATTCTCCTATGACTGTAAGTGCTAGTATACGTAGCGGTTTATACACATAAACCATATTTCATTATCAGATTACATGGCCTCCTCCGCCCCCTCGTCCTCTTCCTTTACCTTTCCATCCACCTCCACCTGCACCTGCACCTGCACTACCTTTTCGTCCATCACCTGACCAATCTGAAATATTCAACGAAGAATTTTTTAGCTGGTGAAAAAAGGTGGAAAAATGATGTATTGTGACTTTGGGTTATCCTGAATTATATGGACTGCATGCACAAAATAATTATATTCTAACTGTTACCAGAAAATTACGTGGCAACTTGCTTCATGGTATATTTGGTAATCAGGTCTGTACATAGTCCTAGAGCATCTACGTAACAAGTTTCATTGAAGTGTAAAGATTAGTACTTAAATATCAGCGAAAAGGCTGAAAATTGACTAATTATGCAAATAGGTAATTAATATGCATATATTTGTACTGAAAACTAAGCAAGTCATTAGCCCAGATCATCTATATACTAAGTTCCATCGAAATCCAATAGGTGGTTCTTTAGATATCAGTGGAACAGACATACAGACTCCCATTGTGTTTCACACATGGGAGTCAACAGGCAAAATAAAAATAAAATTTTGTATAATGTTTCCAGAATCACACTATTAGGTAATTTCTAACCCATAACTTGTCAGCAACCCCCTGTGATATTAATCCAAACTTATGCTTGGTGATTATCTATCGTTGAATACGGTAATTTTCCCCAGAGAGCTAGGTCTTATTCATACAAACAAATACCCTTGTTGCAATTGATAAATACTAGCACATGAACCCCTAACAAATTTCCTGCAATTTATGACCCAATTTTTCATAAATGGCGTGTGTGCAACATTTTGCTTACTTTCAAGTATTGTTCCATCATTTTGTTGATAATTATGAAAAAACAGACATTTCTACAGGACCTGATCAAAATATTCGGCTTTATTTTGAGAAAGTGAAAGTTTTATTTTGGTACCCAAAAGATTCATGGTAGGATGTATTTATTTTGGTGGTGAAAGCGTACTGTACTATTATGTGTCTTCATGTCAGTTTTCCTAATGAGCCTCAGAGCAAATTTGTTGTGTAGGAACACAGGTCAGAGTATAGAATAGAACTACTTACTTCCTTGGACTCTATTACCACCACCACCACCACCACCACCCCCTCCTCCTCCTCCTCCTCCTCCTCCTTGATAACCACTCTGTTGGTATCCCTGTTGTTGGTATCCTTGCTGTTGGTATCCCTGTTGTTGGTATCCTTGCTGTTGGTATCCCTGTTGTTGATATCCCTGTTGTTGATGCCCTTGCTGGAACCCACCTTGATTATACCCTCCTTGGCTGTAATTTTGATAGCTCTGGTCCCCAAAACTTTGTTTGTAACCACCTTGTTGTCCTCCTTGTTGATGACCTCCTCCTCGCTGATAGCCGCCCCCTCTACCACTACCCCCACCCCCTCTGCCCCCTCGTCCTCCTCCACCTCCCCTTCCACCTATAAAAAACAACAAGAAATTTGTAAATGATCAGTTTAATGTTCATATGACTGTAAATTTTGGTTCAGTTGCTTTGATGACATGCCATACATGTATCATCATCTTTGCTCTACTAAAGCACCCAACAGACCAAACAACGAATTACAGTTTCAGGTACTAAGGTACATGTATACTCCCTTAAGTAAACTGAAATTAGCTTTATGGCTAATAAATGTGCTTTGATATAGCAATATCACAACTTTAGTTGGGAGTTTGAGTTTCATTTCCAAATATCCTTAAACACAATGGCTTACTTACCACCGTCAACTCTTTTTGTAAAAGCAGGCATTTCTGGAGGTGGAGGTGCAGCTTCTTGTGGTCGACCACCGCGGTCAGGAACCTGCATATCATAAAGCGTCATTTCATTTAACATTTCAATTTAGCTACAATAATATTACTAAAACTCCACGATGAATGAGAAGGGAAAACCAAGACAAGATTCGACTAGTATTGGGGATTAAGAAATTCTGATATCAAAACCCACTGACATAAAAACATTTACAACTGCAAGATTCTCTACAGCATCAAATGCAAACAGAAACTGGTGTAAATGTGGCACATAGATTAAGCTATGACACCATTAAAATAAATCATTACAAACAAACCAAACCATACCAAAATGTCTCATTATATGAAACACCAATCATAATTGCTGAGAGATGAAAACTTGGAATATTTTACACCAATGTTACAATACCATACCTGAAGTTTATATCTAGCAAATATTGTCACACATGTTTCATCTCATTTAATAAATGAACACTGAATGAAAAAGCAACAATGTGAACATGAACCACGTACCATGCCCATAACAACTTTATTAACTGCACTCTGTGTGTGTTCCCTTACTGATCCACTACTGGTCTTTGTAAGTCTGATTAAATCTGTAATACATTAGAAATGATTTTAATTAAATACAATACATTTAATAGTTATTTGTTTGGCAGGATGTTGTAATATATAAGAAAATCTTTGCTTGTAGATAATGGTCAAAACAAAATGAAATCTAGAAAAACGAAAGAAAATTTTATACAACTGCAATATGTCAAATGTACACATAAATAAATATTTAAAAAGTCAATACCATATTCACTCTCTTAGAAGCACAATCTCTTATTCATAGAGCAAATATGGTAGTTTGAGTTGTACTATATATTCATGAAAACATCCAAGATCTCATCCAAAAATACTGAATAACGATAGACTGTTTCTATCTATATTTCTAACAACTCTGATTGCAGGTGGAACAAAGAAAATGGCCTCACCTTCCCTTGATGCCACTAAATCTGCTATGGTTATTTTACTTTGAGGAGATAACATTTTTCTTTTTGGTTGATACACCGCTGCCAGGTGATCAGCCTTCCCCTGTACAAAATAAACAGACATTAATTACAACCCCCATATCATTGGGGAAACTCGAAAAGTCCAGAACGATGGGAAAAAAAGGTCATAAACCTACAATATTTTAAAAACTTACACACATGCATCATAATGAAGTCCCCTTGAATTAGTTCTTACAGGTCAGAGTTCAATTATGTTGCCAAGCAACATGAATATATTAGTTTGTATAATCTCACCTTTATCCTATCTGACCATTTAAATGACTGAACAGTGACATCAAGTCGTTTCAATAACATGTATCTTCGGACTACAAATTCTTTAGTTAGTGCACCATTTATTTCTTCTAAATTGTTCTTTGAACAAACAAAAAATTGAAATAATAAAAAAAATACAGCTAATATTATCAATCCTAGGATTAGAGTATTGTTCTCCTGATGGCTGTGATTAACTTGAATGAGACTTAATCAACTTTGGAAGGAACTATTTTATTTTATTTGCATATTTTTACAGTCAATACTAATATTATAAGGTTTGTAACAATGAATGCTGCAGTAAAGATGTAATAATACAGTATTTTGTATTCACCAATGTTGTTATGTCTCCAATACATTTAAGGTGCTTTTTAAACATACTGTCAGTGCAATAGCAATAAATGTTAACACCTCACCTGCTGAGAGCCTAAACAGATAACCAACATTAAAAGTATATATATTATAGCATTATCAATACCAGTGGATTTTATGACGTCATTGCAGCAGATTATTCGCGATAATGTATTACATTATTGAGCATCAAGGCCCTGTCCCATGGATATGAATACAATGTTGATTTCAAAAACGAATAAAGAAGAAACTATTGAAAAAGAAGAAATATTGTACGATAACAAGTATTTAATACCACAATCGACTTCAAATAAAACGGTCCATAACCAATAACAGCAGATTTCAATATCGAAATCAGACAATATTTTGAAGGCATCGTCGTCTGCTCTGTACGCCGCTATTGCGCGTTCGGTCGAAGCGTTCCATCTAGTATGTGCGCTTCTAGATTCCGCGACTGATGCTGCTGTCCTGGTGGCCTCCTGATTAGTTCGCCTTATCGTGTTGTTG